TATGTGCATCTCTAGATATGTCTTCGGAAAGACTAGCCCTAAGCCTGACATTGGAAATTCTGGGATATCACAAGTCATTTTATGTTTTTAAGTTGGCTATGCTGTCATGAAGAGAATGAGGCAAGTCTATGAACCAGGTTTCTCTGTCTGAATCTCTTGAGCAGGAAAGGGGAGGGGGTCAAAGGTTCATTCTGAGTCTTCTGTTTCTTAACAAACAGCTTAAAGGCAGTATCTCATAAAGACAGATTCAGGATGGCAAAACATTTGTTCCCTTCTGTTGTTTTAAATTCTCAGTCCGATAATTCCAACATTGCTGCCATGTCCGGTTCTGATGCTTGCTCTGCCTTTTTGAATTGTGCTTTTGCCTTTTACTATGCCTTGTAATTTTTTTTTTTTTTTTTTGGTAGTGGGGCATAATGCATTGGGTAAAGGGAACCACTGTAAACAGTCCTTTAATAACATGGTGGTGAGGTATGGGGGAAGAGGAGGCATTCTATGGTCCTATGATTAAGTGTCAATGTTTTAGTGAGCCTGTCCTTCTGGACTGTGAACTTCACAAGTGTTTTAAATTTTCTTCTCTTACTTTAGGTGTGAGAGGATGTCTAGAGCTGACTGGAGTTGAGTACTTCCATCCCCCCAGGTTAGTTAGGCTCTGATTATACCCCGCCGGTTAACTTGTTTCCCCTGATGACAGGTCTTGCTAAGAAGAACAGAGAGCTCTGGCTATTTTAAAAAAATGGTCATGTTCCCCTGCCAGAAGCATGAGGGTGTTTTTTTTGGTTTTTTTTTGTTTGTTTGTTTGTTTGTTTGCCAATATTTACTCTGGGAACATGGTTGAGCTCCTGGAGAAAGTACATTTCCAAAACTGTGCATCGCTTCCATGCTGGGCCCCCATGGTGTTTTTAACTCTTAGAACTGTCCACCTGGAGCCTCCAGCAATTTGTCAACAACAGTTCAGGCTCTCCTGACACTAGTTCTTGTGGAGGTTTCTCCTTGGGAGTCTGCTCAGGAAGCAGGGATGCCTTGTATCACTTGTCTCTCTAATTTTGGGGGCTGCAGGTTGTCTTGTGTCCTCCCCTCCCTTGTGGATCCAAGAAAAGTTGTTAATTTTCCCATCTCTTCAGCTTTTTACCTGCTAGGATGCAGCGGCTACTTCCAAGCTACCTACATGCACAACTAAAAACTGAAACTTCCCACGCTTCAGTCTCATAAACCTGCAGATGGGGGTGTGGGTAGGTGCTGTCGCATGCACACGTGTATGCCCAGTACCTAGTACCCAGTACCCAGTAGTAAAGGCCCTACTGGCTAAGAACTTTAAGTAGAGTCTAGTAGTTTAAAAATCCCTCAACGGACTAGTAAAAATGTCTTTATTTTTACTTTTCTGAGTGTTTTTAAAACACCAGCATCTGTGGTTTCACATTAGGAGTGTGCAGTGGTTTTCTTGCCACTTTGGGAGAGATGCCTGTAAGGGGTAACCCACGGCGGGCGCAGAGGTGGCGGCAGGGGGCGCAGTGCGGGGAGCAGAGAAGAGTGAGGCTGAGCATTCACACTTTGGAAATCAGCTTCAGGTTTGGTGTCACACATTTTCCTGAGAGTTTTAGATCTATCATTTCCTATTTTTCCATTCTTTTAGAAGCCTCTTTATTTTATTTTTGTAAAAAAAAAGTCATCAAGCAGCTAAGATGAGAGAGAGAGGGAAGGAAGGAAGGAAGGAAAGAAGGAAGGAAGGAAGGAAGGAAAGAGGAAGGGAGGGAGGGAGGGAAGAAAAAAGAAAAGGAAAGAAAAGAAAAAGAGGAAGACAGGAAGAGAAGGTGGTTTGAGGCTGGTGACGCTCGGTTCAGATGTAAACCTCAGAGGAATTTTAAACCTGTTCTTGGGTTTTATTACTACATTTTGGAGTCTTTCCTTGCCACTTACCTCCACTCCACTCCCAGAAATAGTAATTTCAGATTTGGAGAGGAGTGAAGCATTTTCTGAGAAATAGGTTGGGTAATGGTAATTTGGGGGTAAGATCTTTCAACAAGTTAGGAGGGTAAGAGACCTTAAATGTCTTGGTTTAGTTTAAACATAATGGCTTCAGGCTTATTTGTGGAATAAGAATTAAAAACCATAACCAAAAATCATTTGCGGGGGTGGGCTAAAGTGGGTAGCTGATTAAGGGATTAGTTTGATGATATTAATATGAAAGTTGGGGTGTGGTGTGGCAGAATTAATTAGAAAGATATGACCAGTGTAGTATGGTACAGATGTATTTTCACAGGATAAGACTTCTGCCCCTGGTTAGAGAGTTAGGGTACAAGTAACTCCTCAGGACAGAGTCCTTCCTTTGGTGCCTCCTGGTTCACTTTATGCATTCAGCCAACAGGATGCAAGCCTCTTTCCCGAAAGACTCTAGGGGAAAAGCAAGCACTGGCTATGTCACACATCTCCATTTTAGGACCCACCAAGTTGTTGCATCTTTACAAATTCTCCCCGACTCCACCACATTCCCCAAATGCCCTGCACAGGGACTTGGAAAAGCTTTTGTTGGCCTTCAATTGCCACACTTAGCACCTCTCACAGTTCAGTGTGATGTGGGGCTGACATTATTCTTGAATCACAGCAAGGTGAGTGAGAAGCAAGGGCTTCTTCTTGTTTATTTATTTAGTTACTTACTTACTTGTTTTTTAAAAAAAAACAAAACAAAAACCCAACTTTCTGCAGTGTTCAAAGGTCAATCCTGGGTCCTGCTCTCTCCTAGGCTTTGATGATCCGTGGTAAATTGAACCGAATCACATCAAATGTTCATTCAGGAGCACATTGGCCACCTTGTTTAAAAGATGCTTTCAAAGTGTGTGGGTGCAGATTGACCTTGCTCAGTAGCTGTCAGGCATAGAGAGGGTGTGTTATCTCCTTAACCTTCAACTCTGCAAATCCTAAACCTTTGTTAGTCTGGATTCCTTAGAAATGGGCTGGAAGGAACCAGAAACAATTTTGTAAATTGTTTTGTTTTGTTTGTTTTGTTTTTAAAGAAAAGTATGGACGGATGCTAGCCTCAAAGATGATCAAGAGACAGCCTAGCTGTAGACCCCTGTATAAAATAGAGACCTGAGGGGCCAGGTAGGAAGGGGAGAGTGGAGGGGTGGACAGTGACTGCAAATGGGTACAGGGTATTTTTGGGGGGCGGTGATGGGACTGTTCTAAAATTAGATTGTAATAATGGTTGTACAACTTTGTAAATTTACTAAAAATTATTGAATTACACATGGTATGTGAATTTTAACACAATAAAGTTGTTAAATAAAAAAACGAAGATAAAAAGGCGGATCACAAAGAACTATTATAGATGCAAAGAGTGATTGATAGCTCCTATTTGTCTAGTGGGATGGGCAATTACTGGTGACTCAGCAGAACCAGAGCTACATCAGAACAACTCAGAAAATTCTGTTCCTTTCACCAAGGCCAGTGAGTGGAATCCCAGGGAGGCAGATTTTACCTTGATATCAGGAGGGGCCTGCTGACTGTTACAAAGGCCCAATAAGAAAGAGGTAGAGCACAGCGCTCTACCAGGGCAGGGTACAAGGGATTCATCATTGTGCTGGGTGACAGATGCTTCCTGAGATGATTTCCAGCCCTGAGCTCCAGGGACTCCACTGTTGCGATGGGAAATCCCCCTTTCTCTCCAAAACTGTGTTTGTCCATCCGAAAGCCAGATGGTCTTTGCCCCATTTCTAATCCACCCGGAAGGGGATGTTTGTCTGATGCTCAGAGATTTGCTGATGAAAGAGGCCAGAAGGGTGCAAAGACTCCCTGAAGACTTACACTCACATAATAACAGGAACTGGGCAGCTGACAGACTGCAATTGTGTCTCCATAATAATAGTAATTAATGCAAGAATAATAACTTCATTTCAATTTCCTATTGCCACTTTTGTCCTAGGCATCACACAAACCCAACACAGAGAATTTGAGTCGCTTCTGGGATGTGAACTAGTGTTTTTATGTTTGTTTGTTTGTTTGTTTGTTTGTTTTTAGCATTTATGGGGTTTTTTAGATTATAAAAGTGCTATGTTGCCTGTAAGAAATTAGAAAAGGCAAAAAGCAATGAAAGATAATATCAATTAAATGGGAATTCCACAAGCCAGTGATAACCACTATTAACATGCATCTTGTTATATTGTTTTACAAAAATAAAAATGTGGTACATGTTATTTACTAAACCAGTTACTATTTAACAATATAATGCAGTCCTTCCAGGTTACTAAGTATGCTTCTAAAACATTATTCTCAGTGGTTGCATAGGGTTGTATTATACAATATATTTTAATATATTTAATCCATTCCCTGTTGTACTTTTAGATTGCTTCTAATTGTTTTTGCATTGACAATATAATATTTGAGGCCAAAGTATTTTTTTGAATCAAAGTATATATTCTTAATATAAATGCCCTAGACATGGGCTCTAGATAGAGAATTTCTGGTTCAAAAATATACAAACATTATTCAGGTTTTTTGATATTTATTTCCAAATTGTTCTTCAAAGAGTTTTTGCCTATTATACTCAAACCAACAGGTCATGAGCATACTCATTTCCCAATATGTTCTTTATTTCTAGTTATTATTATGATTATTAAATTGTATTGATCAAGTTGGTAAATAGCATCTCATTTTTTAGAAATTTGTGTTTTGCTGGTTATTATGGACCATGACCATTTATTTTTTCAAACCGCTGTTTGTATTTCTTCTTTTGTGACTTGTATGCTCATGTCCTTTGTTCATTTTTCTGTTGGATCATTTATCTTTCTCCTATTGATTTATAAGAGCATATATATATATATATATATATATATAAATGATATCAAATCTTTGCTCCCTTTATAAGTTGCAAATATTTTCCCCTAAATTGTTGTTTGCCTGTTAATCTTATTTTATATGATACATTTTTTATATTGTCAAAATTTAATGATCTAGTTCTTCTATAATTTCTGTCTATCATTCTTAGAAAGTACTTCCCGACTGCTGCTAAGGGAACCATCGCAGAAGGATGGTGTGTGAAAAATGTGAAAAGAAAGCTGGTACTGTTAGCACTCCAGATACATGGAAAGATGGTGCAAGGAATATCACAGAAAGTGGTGGAAGAAAGCTGGATGAAAATAAAGCTTTGACCTCAAAAAAAGCAAGATTTGATCCATATGGAAAGAATAAGTTCTCCACTTGCAGAATTTGTAAAAGCTCTGTGCACCAACCAGGTTCTAATTACTGCCAGGGCTGTGCCTACAAAAAGGGCATCTGTGCAATATGTGGAAAAAAGATTTTGGATACCAAAAACTACAAGCAAACGTCTGTCTAGATGTATTGATGAAGTTTCTGGCTTTCTATATGATTTTGCTTTCTGCTTTAAATTTTTGAGGCATATCAGAGATGTGCAAGTTAAAAAAAAATAACATGTTTTAAGACAATTAAGTTTAAACCAGGGAAGTTGATTGGTATTCATTTTTTTTGCTCTCAAGAAGCTCTGAGTAGCAACTGTATAATTAGTCTGACTTACATGCATCTGATTAAACTAGAATAAGTGGCAGATTTAACAACAACAACAAAAAATATTGGCCCAGTTCTGTATGCATTTTTTATTTAACATTATTCATGTAATTCTTACCATCCTCTCCCTCTACTTATATATATTGCAGAAGTGAAAAGGAGATCATTGTTATTTGCTCAGAGCTTGGCATCCAAACATATACTCTTCAGACCCTTATTCCCTTGTTGGTTGCCTAGTTCTTAGAATCAGCAGTACCTTAAATATTGCAGCTTCACAGGGTATTTAAGTATCTGAAACCATTATAGCTGAATGGTTCCTTAGAAATTAGCCCAGACCCAATCAAACACAAAAGTTGCATATATGATTTTTTAAAATTTGTTCTTGAAGCCATAGTGCTAATACCTTTCTTATGAGAATAAGAACACAAGAGATCCCACATATATGTCCAAATGAATACACTGGATTTCAGGAAAACACATGACTGTGAATCCACATTATTATGAAAGCCAAGAGAGCAGCGTTTGTTATGATGATGTACCATGGAAGTGAGTTACCACTCTTTGGGAAAGCTCTTTGAAGCAAAATGAAGCTTCTTTAGTTCTCTCCCCAACCCTCCCCCCCAACCAAAAATAAATAAATAGAACAAAGCAAACATTTTGATTCTTAAAATATGTGTATATATCTTCAAAGAAAGATTTTTGTTTTACTACTTAAGAGGTTCAGGACTTCTGCTTTGGAAACCTGCAGCCTACTGAGGGAAACAAAAAAAGTGTTCCCTAATGTCAAGTACAGTTTGTATAAATACCATTATCAAATGTGTAGAATAGATAACATGATATCCATAATATAGATATTGCATTTTTATTTTAAAATTATGGTAAATAAAGTTTTAACTTTATTAAGTTTTTAAACTAGTGTTTCTGAGATACATTGTTACTAATATCCAGAATGATCACAAGAATAATGTAAAATATAATAAAAAAAATAGTGAAGGCAAAAAAAAAAAAAGTACTTCCCTGTCCAAAATAAATACTCATATATATGGACTATTTCTTTATTTTCCTTAAGGGTTTTTGTAATTTCATTTTTTACAGTCACATATTTTTCTGGTGATGATGTTGATTTATTGTGCAAAGTATCCTCTTTTTTCCCCTAAATGGTTAGCCATTTGACTGATTATTGAAAATTGTATGTTTTATTTAACTGGTTTTGTCTAGTTTGGCAAATAGCTGCTTATTTCATATGAAGTTTATTCTTAGACATGTCACAATTTCTGTAACTATCATTGGGAACCTTTTTTCCATCAGATATTTTGAACTAGTTATTGCTTATATATATTAAAACCCTGGACTTTTAAATAATATGTGTTAGAACATCACAACTAACTACTCTCTTTTTAGTTCAAGTATCCTTGTCACAGAGAGCAGAAAAATAATTTTTTTCCAAAAGATGACATTAATTCTGAAGATGAGGTTTAGTGTTATTCCATCACACAGGGATAGATCTTCCCTCTGGACATTTTTTTCTGACTGTCCTACTGGAGACTGGGATAAACCCTTATCTGGACATGGTATGGCATATTTTAAAAAATATATACTATTCAAAAATATTTGCTACTGTTTTATTTAGGAATTTTTTCCTTGTGTTGATAAAATAAATTGGTCTGTAATTTTTATTGTTAAATTTTTGCCTTCAAGGGTGTATTAGCTTTATTTTATAAATTGAGTTTTATTTTATACATAAGAAATCTTTTACAGTTTATATTCTCTGGAGCAGTTAAAATTTTTTTCTTAATTATTTTTTTCTTAAAGGCTTGAAATAAGTCTCCAGTAAATTGTTTGATTGTGTCCTTTCAGACTATTATACCCCAGGTCACTGGTGAGTTCCCTTATCAATGTGTTCTCCCTATGCATCCTTAGATTTTTGCATCCCCAGGTCTAATATCTTCAAATTCTACTCCCAGATGTGCTCCCTGGCTCCTGCCTGTACCTATGAGTCAGGTCCTGTAATTCCTCTTGGGGTAGTAGCCACATTTCCATCCTCTGGCTCTCTGGTACATGATCATGGTTGTCAGCCTATAGATAACTATAATGAGGGTCCATATTGCAAGGTATTAGCCTGGGGTAAGGCCTTTCCAGGTCTCCAGGCAATAGGAGATTGCTCCCTGTGATAAGCAGGAGGTGACTGCTTCTCCTAGTGAAAACTATGCAGGGGAATTCTGGGGTTTCAAAATGATTAGGGTTATACATCCAAATGTCCCCATTCCGTGTCTCACAGATTCATTCTGTAACAAGATGCTGATTCTAATATGTGACACCTATTGTGTATACATGTTGTCTCCTTTCCTGTTTCGTTATCTTTACAATTAGATTCTAGCCTGATTTTTGACACAGCGTATTCTATAGCTGCTGGAAATGAGGGGATCTCACTAAATGCTTGTACAGAAGCAATCTGACTTTCACAGCATGTTTTGTATCTTAAGAGATGGCTTTCCTGATTTCATAATTCTTTTTTTTAAGACTTTCAATGCAATTAACAAAAGCTAGACCACTTCAAAACACTTACAATTACAATTGCCTACAATAAGTTCAAGCTCTATCCCTGTTCCTAATCCAGCACATCACCTCCACTGTATTGATCCCAGTCAACCACAGGCAAGAATCTTAGTAATTGTGATGTCAATGCATCTTAGAAGCTTTGTCCTTGTGTTGATAAAATTGGTCTGTAATTTTTACTGTCATTTTTGCCTTCCAGCACCACCCTACTTACAACCAGCTCTGGGGATCTGATGGCCATATGACCTGTGAATGGTCCATCTACAGTCCCAGAGGGCCCACTTTCTAGGACCACTCCTAGTGCCAACTGTCTTAGCTTGGGTTCTCCTAAAATCAGAACGTAGAATTGAAAGGAGAAGTAGATGAATGCATTATCATAGCTGGAGACTTCAACACCCCTCTATCAAAAACGGACAGATCCAGCAGGCAGAAAATCAGTAAGGACATAACTGAATTCAACAACATCTTCAACCAACTGGGTATAACTGACATCTATAGACTGCTTCATCCGACAAGAATACATTTTCTTCTCAAGCTCACATGGATCGTTCACCAAGATATACCACAGTATGGGCTATAAAACACACCTTAATACATTTAAAAGTATAGAAATCATACCATGTCTGCTCTAAGGCCACAATCAAATTAAACTAGAAATCAATAACAGAAAGATAACTGGAACGTCCCAAAATATGAAGAGATTAAACAACACACTTCTAAATAACACATGGGTCAAGGAAGAAATCTCAAAGAAATTAAAAAATATTTTGAACTAAATGAAAATGAAAACAGTTTATCAAAATTTGTGGGATGCAGCAAAGTAGTGCTTACATGGCAATAATGAAATTTTTATCATTAAAAACATATATTAGATAAGAAAAAAAGACCTATAATCAATAATTTAACTTTCTAGCTGAGGAAACTAGAAAAAGAAGAGCAAATTAAACCCAAAGAAAGAAGAAAAAAATAGAAATTAGAGCAGAAATCAATGAAATTGAAAACAGAAAATCAATAAAGAAAATCAATAAAACCAAAAGCTGTTTCTTTGAAAAAAATCAATATAATCTATAAACCCCTAACCAGGTTGACTAAAAAAAATTGCAAGAACACAAATTACCAATATCAGAAATAAAAGAGAGGACATCACTACAGATCCCATGGATTTAGAAAGATAATAAAGAAATACTATGGACAACTCCATGCCAACAAATTGATAATCTACATGAAATGGACCAATTCCTTGAAAGATAGCAATCTTCCAAAACTCACACAAGAAGAAATAGATGATATGAATAGTTTTATATCTAGTAAATAAATTGAATCAATAATTAATAACTTCCCAAAACAGAAAGCATGAGGCCCAGGTAGATTCACCGATAAATTATACCAAATATTTAAAGATGAAATAATATGTATTCTCTACAATCTCTCTGAGGATAAGAGCATAGGGAATACTTCCTAACTCATTCTATGTGGCTGGCATTACTATAACACTAAATCCAGACAAAGACATTGCAAAGAAAGGGAACTACAGAACAATATCTCTCATAGACATAGATGTAAAAATCTTCAACAAAATAGCAAATTGAATCCAACAATGCATTAGAGAACTATAACCATGACCAAGTAGGATTTATCCCAGATATGCAAGGGGTATATGGGAAATCTCCGTACCTTCCCTTCAATTTTACTGTGAACATAAAATAATTATTTTAAAAATTAATTATTTAAAAAACTCAAAATAAAAAAAGACAGGTGGGACAAATATAAAATTGATATAATTCCAAATGTATTAGTAGTTGCATTAAACCTAAGTGAATTAAATACTACAATGTAAAAACTAAGATTTTCAGATTGAAAATAAAGTCAAAAGCCAACTGAGGACAAAAAGGAGAGCCTAAGACCAAGGCTCATGTATGATTGTTCATTTGGGAGTGTAGATCTAGGAGTTGGGATAGAAATGAGGGAAGGACATGAAAATGAAATGGGGAAAGGAGAGTCCAAACAAGGATGTGTTATCCAGTTGACCAATCACTACAGTGTGCTCAACCCCAATAGATGATCTGAGAAGCTTTAAGGAACATGTATAAAGGACCCAAGGACAAAGACAATGGGGTGAGGACAGAGGATGGAATGTGGGAGGAGAGGTGGGTAGGGCAGGGGAAGTAATGGGGGAAAAATGGGGCAACTGTAACAGAACAACAATAAAAAAAAATATGCAGCTCAGGGCCTTGCTCCTAGAGGGGTGGGGGATGAGGAAGCATGTACTCCCTGGCTCCCCACACCCTTAGTGGGGCTTGCCCCAAAGACATGAACTACTTCTTACCCTGGTTGAGAGGCAGGATCCAACTGACATCCTATGCAGAGGGAAGACCTGAGGCCAGGGGATTCCAAGTGACGGCCAAGAGGAGTTCAGTCCACCACCCAACGCTGTGGCCGGATGTTTTCTTCTACACTTTTAAAATTTCTTTAAGGATTAGTAGTGTAATCAGGTTTTCTTCCTTAGAATGAGTTCTTTTGGTAACTTTAAAAATCCCTTTTCAGGATGTTCAAGTAGGCTAGAATTGTTTTCCCTTTCTCTCTTTTTTTTTTACTTGACTGTTGGAATGTTCTTTAATTTATTGTTGTTGTTTGTTTTACAGAAACCAGATTGGATTGAAGTATTAACAACACATTTCTGTTTTTCAGTAAATTAATTTCTGCTTTCATTATATTAATAATTTTAAAAGCTTTGCTTTAGACTTATTTTACATTTTAAAAACACCGCATTTCTTCTGAGACTAAAATAGTCAAATTTGTAGAGGTAGAGAGTAGAATGGTGACTAATAGGAGCTGGGGAGCAGGGGTTTGAGGAGGGGATGCTCAAAGGATACAAAG